AAGATACTTTTTTCTTGCTTAGGTAGTCACTGGGGTCCTGGTGAGTGCTTTTAAGGAACAAATTACAAGTATTTTATTTATAATCTACATATTTACATATATGTGGAGAGGAATATTTTTGTGCTTGTGGGACATATTGTTTCAGAGACTTGGCACTGCTGTGGAACCCACTGAATACTAAGTGCCAGGAAAATAGAAACTAATACCGTTCTTCCTATTAAGAGGTGTGAAGAAACAGAATTCCACAGAACTGGTAACATTTGGGTTGTACAAATAGATAATTGGTACCCTTGATGCTTTTCCCCTCTATCTGGGTAAGTGTAGAGATTTAGAAAAGACAGCTTCTGTTGGTATATTAGTAATCCTAAATGAGAGAATTGCAGAATCCCTTTCTCAAGAGGTAGAGGGAGTATCCTGCTCTATTTCTACTACTGAAAAGAATTTTATACAAGGTAAGCAGTTAATGCTTTTATAAAAAGTTGAAATGTATTGCAAGTGACAGAATGATGATGATCTCAGTTCTGAGAGCATTTGAATGAATGGTACTTCTGTAATTTAGCTTTCTTACTTGCACTTTATTAGCATCATATAAGTGAGAAATGTGTTGGCAGCCTATTAGAGAATGTAGATAAACTTGTAACTTTGAGATAATTCACTTCATGCATATAAACATTGTACAGCTGGAAGATGAACACAGCTCTGAAAATATTTTTACTGTAGGGAAGTAGAAGTGATAAGCAAACCTACTAAACTCAGTCCTGTTTCTGCATACCTAAATGTACTTTGCTCAGATCTGGTTTAGGAGTTGTTTTTTTGGGGGGGCTTTCCTTCCCCCATTCCCCCCCTGCCCCCAGTGGTCTACATGCTGTGAGGCATACATATAGCATGGAAGAAGGGATACTACAAAAACAAACTAATACCTGAAATGCTTTTAAAAATAAAAAGATAAACCTCCAAAAGCCAGGTTTTATTTATTGCTGTTAAGGTAGCAGAGGCTACCAGCTTCTTTTCTAGTTCTGGTCCCATAGGTAGTCCTAAAATTTTGAATGAAGAAAATAAAGTAGCTAACAGTTGTTATCTATATCACAATTAGCAGGAAACATGAGAGAAAGTTACAGTATCATATTGTTATCTCCTATTGCATATTTGTTTTCTGTAGTACTTTATTTACAGATCCTTTTTCTGCAACTACCAAATACAAGAATATATTATGGCTGTATCAAATGTTTGAGCCAACCTTAACAAAAGTGAATGAGGCTTAAAAATACCACTGCCTAGAAACCCTTTTTGATCTTGTATATGTGTATGTAGCTTTCCTTAACATCGGAGTAGATCAGTCTTACTGTTTTAGATGCTCTTGTTCCAATAGTGCTGTTCATATCTGGAACAACAGGTTAAGAACTACTTAATTGGAAGGTCTGTACAAACTGTGACTAATCAGTCCTTGATAAATTATAGAAGTTAAAATATTTTGAGAAATGTTACTGAAGTTCCAAATACTGGATGAGAAACACCAATTGTGAGCTAACTTTATGTGAAAATGACCTTTATGTGAAAATTGGATGACTAACAAGCTAAATAAAACTGCTCGTTATTCTTAAGTTCTAGTGTAAAGAGCTGAAGGTAGACATGCTTTTTTTACACTTGTCTCAAAGCTGTACCCCCAGCCAACTATTTGCTTTTGAATGACAGTCAAATAGGGATGCACAAAACTAAAGGAACTATTTGCATGGGAGCAAGTAGAAGCTGAGGATAAACAGTTAGGACCCCTGCTCTTTTTGCATCTTTGTCACTCTTAAGATTTTTTTTCCACAAAATGTGTTGTTCCTTGTGGCAATCATGACTCCTTCTGTAATATTGCTGGTTAAGAAGCTCTGGTCCTTGATGAGGGTACATGTCTATTTTTAGAAGGTATGGAAGTGGTTCCAAAAAGAACTTTTTCCTAAAACCTGGATATATCCCTTACACTAATTTTATTTATCCTTTTGGGTTACTTGTCCAATTTTGTGTGAGTCAGACTCCCTCAGTGGATGTTCCATAGCTTAGAGCAATTTGGTTTGATTTTAACACTCTAGATGTTGGCAAGGTGGCTGGGTCTGAGCATTGCTGCTTGGTTACTGAAGTCCAAGACTTACTACTAGGCAGTTTATGGGCATCTACTGTTTTTGATATAGGGGCATTCCAGGTTCAACGAAAGAAGCAATGAGATATTTTACTTAAATTAACATAAGGGCAATGTGGAGTCTAAAAGGAACACACTCCTCAGGGGAACTTGAATGGGTATGTGAATTGGAGACGGAGTTGGCAGAAAAAAAACCCCAAGTACTTCTGGGGAGTTCCTTTCACAGCCCTTAGCAGAGGATAATTAGGCTGTTGGTGCTCTGGCACTTCTCTTGCCAGTTAGATTGGCAGCAAGGGACTGAAAGCTTCAAGCAGAGGGGTTTTTGTCATCTTTCATCAATACAGTTCCTGCTTTCTTTTAGAATATGGGAGAAACAGGTTGAAAAGGTACTGTAAAGGAAAGCCTTTATGTTCTTACGGATCACTGATCAGATAATATATGGCACCTTTGAACTATCAATGTAAACAAAGTTTTGACCACAGTATGCACTCTGCTTGAAATAATCTTGATGAGCCATTAGAAATAGTAGATCAGTATGCCTTACAATCCATTTAAAAGTACCAGGAAGCAACACAACTTTTTCCTGCAAGCTGGTTATTGTTCATCTGTAGTTCAGATGCTCTTTAATCTTTAAGGCTTACTTGGATGTCATTAAATACCTGAGGGTAAAAAAATCTTCCTTTTAGTTATGTTACTAGTAGTGTTAAGTATTTGTGGGGAAGAGAAGGAAATAACTAATGTTGCTACTTACTGGAATGTTCTCTGTTCTCCAGTAAATGTGTAATTCTAACAATGCTTCAACTGTGCAGGATATAAAATATATCAAGTTTTGTGGATCTCCACATCAGTGACTGCTATGTATAAATTATGTTGAGAAGAAGGGTCTTGACTTAGTAGGTGAGTGCTAGGTAGACTTGTGTTCAAAAACTTAAGGAATTAGATTTGGATCTCTTTCTATACTGTCCCTTAAGTGTTCTGTTGTATGCTTGTCTTTAGTAGACAGAGGGAATAAAAGAATATGTGTGAGAAAAGGACTTGTGAAAGTTGAAATGTTGTTCTGCTACAGTTTTGAATCAGGCCGTTGCTTTTGCAGCTGCTCTAAAAGAATATCCTTAGTTGTAGGAAGCATCAGAGGCCATTGCTTAGCTGCCCTGTTAAACATCTCCTTCTCTTAGGGGAGTTTTCAGTCTGATTAAGAGGGAGAAAAAGCATCTGAAATCACCATTTGTTGTCTTGGGTGTTGGTGGTGGGTTTTTTGGGGGGTGGAGTGGTGTTCAGGTGTTTTGTGTGTTTCAGTTGTCATATACTTGTTGATTAGGGATTTACAAAAGATTTTGGAAACACTGCTGAGTGGTTAATTTAGAAATGCTTCTTGAATATTTCAGTATTATTTGTGTGAATATCACATATTTGATATGAACCTTTACCCCTTCTCTCTTTCAGTGGTAGGAGCAACAGCTAGGAGATCAGTGGGATTTACAGGCTGAACATGTTAAAGGTCTTCTCTGTTTGTGGGGGTGAGGAACCAAAACAAACACCCAACTTTCCAGGCTATTTTGAGTTTAGATTGTCCTTGTGATGAAGGGATCAGTTGCTGGATAGGTTTTTCCGAAGCAGGTTGTTTTCTCTTAAGTTCTGTGATGTATGATTAGGGAGACTTCCAGCTCTAGTTTCCATCATGATGACTTAATTGTACATAAGCATGGCAAACTGTGGCAGCCTGTGTTGGCATGCAGAGACTTGAGGTGGTGGTAGTGTTAAACTTCTCTTAGAGGAACAATTAAAAAGAACTTTAATTTGCTGGTAACTAGTAAACACTTTGTATATGATAATACTTTTGCCATAGGAGCTGAACAGAGTAGTAAAAATAAGTACATCACAACTATGTTAAGTGGTTTCACAGAACTTTAAGGAGGGAATGGCCTTTGTTTTGACTAGAGCACTGTCAGTTCTGCAGAAGTGAACTGTGTTCTTCATAGAAAATGTTGTTATAAAACATATGCACTTACCTATTCTTTTAATCTAATGAGATTTTACTGAATTGACAAATGCAGCCTGAAATAAATCCTGTGCAATAATGAATCTTGCTATTTGTTCTTGTTAAAAATATGTCTAAATAGATATACTTTTTTAAAGTAACTAAAGGACAAACACAGATCCGTTTGAGGTCTGTTCTACATACAGATTACCACAACTAATAATCTAATTCAGAAGTATATTGTTCAGTTCTCTGAAATTTCAGAGACGATTTAGTGGGTAATATAGTAGCTTATGTAGACACATTTTTATACTGTTTTGGTTGAAATACTTATTTAGATCCGAGAAAATTTAATGGAGCTATCTCTTAAGTAGATTTTTCTAGGGGAATATAAATTACTTTATGCCTTACAAAATCAAATCCTGTATTGCCCTTCTGTTTTTTGTCCTGTCACCTGCACTGAGAAGATTACCTGATCTATATGGACAAACTGTGTTAATATTGGTAGCAACCCTAGGGTGAAAAAAAAGAGGTATTTTGCATGGAATGCCCCTAAGCAATAAAATTAAATATTGCTGCAAATATGGATTAATCTTAATTCTGACAACTGATGAAGCAAATGCCGTCATGATCACTAAAGTCTATGGATCTTGTCCTTTAAAAAAAAAGCGTACATTGCTACTAGTTGCTAAACTGATCAGAGACTTACCAAGTTACTTGGTAGAAACTGGCTTGAATTATTTCACAATAACCACCAGTCTCTAGTTTGCTGCTTGACTGTATATGTAAGTAGATTTGGATGGAACTTAGAATGTGCGTTTTTAAGATATTTGTTCAGTGTCACATTATTAGTTCTGAAGATTCTCAGTGTCTGTTTTGGTGTTTTTGCAGATGATACAGCTCTAGAGGAAAGGAAGAGTTGTCTTCACAACTTGCTGTACAGTATCTGAATAGTGAAAGCACAATGGACACTTTTTAGAGTTTTACAGAAATCAAAAATCATCTAGGAAGAAGAACATTTGACTTCAAGGAATAACAGACTTCAGAGAGCCCAGGAATTGGTCACTGATAAATCTGATTTGGCTATACAGCTTGGGAATGAATACCATTGAGACAGCAAAGCTTGAAGAGCATATGGAGGGTCAAAACAATGACACTTCTAATGGCTACTCAAGACCTACTCTCTCAGTCAGTGAAGAGAATAAAAATGGCACTAGCAAACCAAAGGGCTTGTCTAATGGCTTACGAAAAACAACAAAGAAATATCCTGATTACATCCAGATTGCTATGCCTGCTGAGTCTAGGAACAAATTTCCTCTGGAATGGTGGAAAACAGGCATTGCCTTTATCTATGCTCTCTTCAACTTGATTCTAACAACTGTCATGATCACTGTGGTCCATGAGAGAGTCCCTCCAAAGGAGCTAAGCCCTCCCTTGCCTGACAAATTTTTTGATTACTTTGATCGTGTGAAATGGGCTTTTTCTGTATCAGAAATAAATGGAATGATACTAGTTGGATTATGGATATTCCAGTGGTTGTTTCTTAGATACAAGTAAGTAGCTATACTTTTTTCTCTTGTATGTTTTCAGAACATTGGTTTCCCTCATTTACTTTGAGTAGAATCTGTAGCAATATTGTAGAATAGGGTTGGCAGGAAAATGGCATAGGGATGATTTTACTTAGACAATGTTCCAGTCTCTGTGCTGGATACAGGAAACAGATTTCTCCTGATTATTGAATGATGTTTTTGAAATCCTGAATTTGAAACCTACTTTGTACTTGTCAAATTTATTCTGAGATTGGGATTTTCAGAGTGTGTTTACTGACATGGTGATGTTTAAACAGAGGAAATCATGATTATGTAAAAAAGTCTCATGCAAATTTGAAGAACCCACTGTCCTCTACAGCTAGACTAGAAGCTTTTTCCTTTGTATTCATTTGCTTAACCTATACATATTTAAGTACATGGTTATAATATGGGACTAAAAAGAGAAGGTCACTGAATTGAGAACTATGCCTGACTGCACATAAGTTGGACTAAGACCATGTTAAATTGGTTAGATAGCTTTGGGGTAGTTATGTACTATTATGAGCTAGCAAGACTAAAACCTGAAGCAAGACTTTAATATTTGATTTAGAGAAGTGTATGGTGAAGAGCAGGACGTGGAGCTGCTCTTTAATTCTAGGGATTTAGCTAAATAATAAAGGTAGAGCTCCCTAACTGTTATATGTATATCCTGCATATGAGCTGTGTACTCAATGTTTTTCCTTTACTTTCAGATCAATAGTGGGACGCAGGTTCTTTTTTATAATAGGAACTCTGTATCTGTACCGCTGTATTACCATGTACGTTACCACCTTACCTGTGCCTGGAATGCATTTTCAGTGTGCGCCAAAGGTAAGAGCTTCCTAATTCTTGCCTTAGTCTCTGCCTGAGTCCTTATGGCTTGTTAGAGCAAATAGGAGATAATGTTCCAGGTGTTAGTAATAACACAATCTATTCTCAGTTGATGTCTTCAGAAACACAGATAGTGATAAACCAAAAAGTTGTGTGATACAGAAAGAGCCTCAAGCTGTTGCTGAGGTTAAGATCCTTTAAGAGAGTATGTATGTTGAAATAGTGCTGCTACTAAACTAGTAAACTTGTTTCTGAGGCTCAAGCTAATCACTCTAATACTGCAGATTAGAAAAAACTGTAAGTTTTTTCTTACATGATGGAATACCTAATGTCAATACTGTAATTCATAGGCTCATACACAAGCTTGTGTTACAATAGCCTTTTAAAAAAAACCCACAATGTCATCATAGGCTTTGCACTGTTTCTCACACTATCCTGTCAAGAGCTGTCGCAATACCTGAAGTCAGCTGCCTGTCCCTGTGTCCAACCTGCAAAATGTATATAAATGACTAAGGTTCAGCTATTTAAATGAGCTGATACATATATAAACATGTACATGCTAATATTTCTCCAAGAATATTTAAAAAATTTTGTGGCAGTGTAGTCAGATAGTGGCATAAAGGAATTCTGTTACTGCCATTTTAGGTTACTAATAAAAAGTTGCGGACATATAATTGCCTTGGAACAAATTGCATCCTGTTGGCTGCACTGAAAGAACAGTGCACTTGAGTGAGTAAGAAACAGTTTGTGCACTGGGAAGATAAGCATTTTGAAACCTAAAAACATTGCCAATGTGGGGCATAAATTTGTCACTTCTTGTATAGGATCTCATCAGTCTTGAGGTACAGCATCGTGTCTGTTCAGTCTTTTTTCACATTAGGACAAATTAGCAACATAGTAGATGAACTATTTTTCTTAGGAATCGGTATCTATTTGAAAAAGCTTTATTTATGTACCACTGTTCTAAAGACTCAACTGGTTTGTTCTAGTAGCTTGGGGAGTGACTTTGTAGTAGAGTGTGTATTGAGGAATAGGAAGAGGTAAGCAAAGGAAGACTTGCATGTGTCTGAAAGTGCATTTTGCTAGCATTAAAACGGGATTAATTACTTGAGCTCTGGAAGAATTTCTGGATTTCTTTTTTGTTCCATGTGAATATTTTCTGATTATGGAAAGCTCAGTTATCTCTTTATCTTGTTTGGGTTTTTCCAGAGTTAATCTTTAAACAGCTAGGTGAAACTGAGTGTTTGCCTAGTATCTATGAGAAATCAAAAGCTGATCCTAATGCATGCTTAAAAAAAAAATCCTCTAAATCTGAGTTAAGTCCTGACTGAGATTGTAACCAATTCTAAAATTAAGTGAGTTTGAGGTTTTTGTCATGTAAAAACATTGCTTAGCTCTGAACAGAATGACAGAAGCGGTATGCAAGCTTGCACTGTATTGGAACTAGTTTGAATGTGTTTTTATCTGTTCTGTCAACTGCTATCATGAAATACCTGACCTCACAAATTTTTAATGCTTACCTTTCCAGTATATTCTACATCTCATTCTCATACAATGCATATTTTAAAGTAGCCTGGGAAACACATAGCATTCTGTCTATGCTTATCAAGCTGATCTTTAGCACCTGTCAACTTTAAGCATGCTTATTTGTTTAAGAATATGTGAAAGCAAGCCAAAGAAAATGAGGATAGTTTGTGTCCTTTTCTCCTCTTTCTCTGACCCTACCTACGTTTGGGCAAGAAGTTTACCCAAGTCATTTACAGTATAACTTAAAGTTTTTTGTACTCTTTTTTTTTCCTGGTGTTGTAGTTGAATGGAGATTCTCAGGCAAAGGTTCAGAGGATCCTGCGACTGATTTCTGGTGGTGGTCTATCTATAACTGGATCGCACATCCTGTGCGGAGACTTCCTGTTCAGTGGTCACACTGTGGTATTAACACTGATCTACCTGTTCATCAAAGAGTGTAAGTGATGGTATTTCAATGCGCTTTCCTCGTTCAGATCTGTTGTACTGGGAAAACTGGTGATAAAAGTGCATGTAAAACTGTAGCCCTCCAGAAGTTTTACTGGTCAGCTGTACACAGACTGTATGTGTATGGGTTTGAAATACAAATCATGACTTTGAGTGAAAATGGAATGTGGCTGTAGTAGAAGTAGTGTGGGCTTTAAGTGACATGTCTACTCAATTGAGCCCTTATCTATAGTGTTTACAGGTTGATTGAAGCAAACCAGCTTTTCATTATTCATTGATAGGTTCTTCAAATTTTGGGTAATACATACTGTAGTTAATTAAGCAAATTAGCTCTGTGCAGGTTGGCTGATATACCTTAGACTTCGAAGGAATTTTTGTGGCTTCAGCACAGCATCATTGCAATGTCATTTATTTTGTGTGCTGTGCATTACTTCAAACAATGCAAAGTTGATTCGTGCTCCTTGGATATCTTCTGCTGAAGTCTCCTACTTATGCCTCTTGAAGTTGGTAAGCATTTGGCAAGTGTGCAGAAGTTAGTTGAGGTTGTGGTTTCTGCCTTTGCTTTACATTGCTATGGAGCATGGGGGGAAAAATCAGTTTGTGCTGCACACACAGCATCAACTGAAGCTTTGGAGAACTGAGCACCAACTTCTAAATCTGATGTATGGTAAGCAATACTTCTACCCTGGGAACCTGGCTGCTCATGAATGTGTAGTGGGGAGTTCCCTTTCCAGTTCACGTGTTTGGAATTGGAAACTTCGTTCCTACTGTTGTGTCCCAAACTATGCAAATGCTAGCTTGGCTCATAGGAATGTGTAATTCTCACTGAAACAAAAATAAGACTAGCCAGCATCAGTTAAATGCCTTCCTTTTAATAAAACGTCGAGGGAATGAAGTGTTGCAGTGCTGTGTTCTGCCTTAAACAAAAAACCACAATATAAACCCACCTATTTAATATGACAAACTTCAAATCTGTGGATGCGAGACATTCTTCAGCCATTTAAGATGCTGATCATAGTCTGCTGATTGAGGCCTAGGCCCTTCTTGTAAAGTGGGGGAATGGCATATGTAACTCATCAATGTTACCAGAGCAGGATTAGGAAAATAGCCTAATAGCTTTGTTTGCCTTGTTTTGTGTATCTTATTGCAGCTTAATGCTGGTTACATACTCTTTAATATCTTTAGTACTAGGAAAGATGCAGATAACCCAGTATTTTGAGGACTAGTATAACTCATGTACTTTTGTCATAAGGGGTTGGAGGACTTGTATCACATATGTTCTTGTAATAAGCCCTTTGACTGCTGCCTAATTGTTAGGCACATATTTCAGTGCAGTTGTGCTCTATAAATAAGTGCATAGCTTTCCTTTTTCTGCCTCCCATATAATTAGCAAAATGTTATCTGAGCAAGGGCTTAAGCCCTATAATTGCTCTGAATTAGAGGTTGCTTATGGTATTCTTTTCTGCTCTCTTGATATGATACGTCTTCAGTACAAGATGCATTCTGAGGCTTTTATTATTTCTGGCTTAGTGAATTTTTTGCTCTGCTCTTTCATCCTTTTCTGCTTCTTCATTTATACCCACACACTCCAGCTTTTTTGCCCAGAATAGTTAGTTACATTTTTAGCCTTGGTATGTCTGTCTTGCTAGTGGCTGACTTCATCTACTTCTTGAAAAGACTTGGCTTCTTACCATTTTTATTTTTTTTATCAGTAGCTACAGATTTGTCCGCAATGCTTTGGACGGAGTTGAGAGAATTTACTGTTTTGACACTTGCACCAAAATTTCAGTTGTCCTACAGTAACTATTTTGTACAGGCCTCGCAAACTACTAGGGGTAGGCTTGTTGGGATCAGTAACTTTTGTGCTGGTATTGTGTGAAAGTAAAAGCTGACCATTGCCCCACAAGGGAAGGGGTGCCAAAACCTCCCACTGTGAGTGAAATGAAACCCGTTAGCCTGTCAGAAGTTATGAATGGTCATTGTGACACCCAAGGCATTTTTCAATGGGGAAAGAAGGGCAGGGAACTTTTCCACTGAAGTGGCTTAAATGCATTTTGAAGAATAGCTTCACTCCCACTTGTTAATCTTTAATGAAAGGGTATAAATTCACATGCTGTACTTCCCTGTACAGTGTATTGGTTCCCAGAACAGAGGTTTCATGCAAAGCAGTTAAACCCTAGTAATTAAGAGTGTCTCTTCCTGTTTAATCTGTGACCTCTGCTCAGGTTATATCAATTCTAGAAACTTTATGCTCAAGTAAACTTATGCTCAAATAGACTGCAGAAAGAGCAGAGATTCAATACACCCAAGTAAAATAATAAAAAGTGTATGTCTTGCCTCAATTCTGTCTCTTCCCTTGTACCCCCCCCCACCCTAGAAGTGATTTAACTGTAATACTTTCTTAACTGAACTAGAAAATGGGTGATAGTGCTGTCTATCTCTAACTGCAAGCTTATCTTGGGCTCATTTTACATTGTAAGAACAATTCAGTAACTTTGCATAATTCTTCAGTCTTGTTTTCTATGTCAAAACAGGGTTCTTGTACCAGTGTGGTACAAATGAGTTAATTTTAAAGTTTAGTAGCCTTAATTAAATCATCTGGTTTTAATCTTTTCCTCTGCCCTTTGTGAATTGCTATAATAATGTATATGGCTTTCTTTCTCCCCTCTCACCTCCCTATTTCACAGATTCACCACGTCATTTCTGGTGGTATCACTTAATCTGCTGGCTAATGAGTGCTGCTGGCATAATTTGTATCCTTGTTGCTCATGAACACTATACTGTGGATGTCATCATTGCTTATTATATCACCACGCGGCTCTTCTGGTGGTACCACTCAATGGCTAATGAAAAGGTGAGTGGCAAATATCTTTAGAATCAATGTAGAGCCTGCACTTGTTAATACCATTCAAATGTCAAAATTAGTTCTTAATTTTGAAATAAAAATAGAGGTTCTGTATTGACATTTAAACAAATTAGGCAAGGAATTTCACTTCACTGTGTTTTAAGTAAATATTTAATGGATTAAGATGTTCTTTTTTGATTTGCACCTAAGTTATTTAAAAATTATTTTTTAATAAACTTATTTTTTAAAGTCTTGATATGTTGGCTTAAAAACATTTTTTAACTTTGAGGTTTATTGGTGTAGTGGGTGTATAGAATAGCCTTTGTCTAAGCTTATGAATAAACAATAGTTTAATAATAAATTTTCTGACCAACCTGAATTACCTAGACCATACTAAAATTCTAGAGACAGTTCTTCTGAAAATGTCACTAAAAGTACACTGTTCAGAAAGTATCTGCTGCAGTTGTTTCAAGAACACCTCCAAGTAGAAGCATAGCTGCCAAGCCATTTTAATCTAGTGTTCATTTTAATCTAGTTTTCAACTATTAGTCATCAATGACAACATGACATGCCTGAAAGGAAGCACTCAAGTCTTTCTGAACACAAGTTGTGTCCCTAAATTTTGTACAGCAACAAAGCATCCCTTTGTGCTAAAGACGCTGAGTTTGTAGTATATATTTTGGCTATGATGTATACACTGTCTCAGTACTCTGATTTTTCTAGGCTAAATGCATGTCGTCTTTGCAGAAATGCATGTGAATATATTGCATTTTTGTAGTTGTCTTTGCTCAGTGTAATTGATCATAATGCTTTAAACTGATTCTGTTTCCTTTTCCTCTCTACCTTCTTGTGCCAGTACAGACTTTAAAGGTCTCTTCGCAGACAAATTTTCTCTCTCGAGCATGGTGGTATCCGATATTTTATTTCTTTGAGAAGAATGTGCAAGGCTCTGTTCCTTGTAGCTTTTCCTGGCCGCTATCTTGGCCTCCCAGCTGCTTCAAATCTTCATGCAAAAAGTATTCACGGGTTCAGAAGACAGGAGAGGACAATGAAAAATCTACCTGAAGAGGAGGAGGAAAGCATCTGCTCTGTTTTTTTACCAAAACATTAATGCTGTAACCAAAGTTCTTAAGAGGACTATACTGTAACTGAAGAAGTGGACCAAGCTTCTGTGCAATTGATTGGAAAGACAATTGTAGACACATATTTCCGTTTCATATGTTTTCCTATCATCAGACTGTACAGACCTATTCTACTCTTCAGTGCTAATAGAATGCACCACTGATGGGATTTTTTTATTAAAGAAAAAATGGAGCAGCACTCTGCTTTACTAATGAGATAGAGGTGCCAAAGACCACATTAACACTTTCATTACTATCACTCATCCACAGAAGCACCCAAAAATCTCATCTTCAGAGTTCTGGAGTGCGTAAGGGTAAAAACATGCTAAAATGTAGAGGCACGATATCGGCGTACTGAGGTATATAAAAAAAACCAAACACAATTGTGGGAAGTGGTTTGTTGCATTATTCTTGCTAATGAAGGTAAGGCCTTTGTGTGACTGGTACAGCCGGAAGCGAGTCTTGACTCTTTTTTACACTCTGTGGGTATGAATATCTTATGACCCTAAACTACTACTTACCACCATTATCTCCCATATATTCTACTATATACCAATTTTTACATTTTTATTAGTAATTTTATATTTAAACTGTTGTGCTACCTGATGATTTTGCAAATTAGGAGTAGCTGCTAACATCAGAGCTCAAGGAGCCTAAAATTTTTATTTTTAAAAAAGGACACAGTTTCAAAGTCTAAATCTTTAACTGCAGTTTGGCCTTGTGTATATAGCTATACAGTGCCTGTTGGTGTATGTACATGCATATACACACAAAAGCACACACTGCTATGTAGTTAAACACATAGTAAACAAAACTACTTACTGGGAAGAGTGATCATACAGTTCTTAATCCAGGCAAAAGTCCTACAGATCTCACCTGCTTGAGGAATGCAAGGCCAGGTCCAAAAGGGGGCTGTATTAAAAATAAACTTTTTAATTTTAGTAACTATTTCTTGCTGAAACTATATGTAGCAAGTTTGTTTGGGAGCCATAGTTCTGCATTGATTTATTTTTTCTTTTCTACCTGTTGGCACATGTTTCTGTGACTTTAGGGGAAAAACAGTACCAAGTTGAATACCTGCAACAGTAGCATTTCTTCAATTATTACCTAAACCCATTTCATATTAAATGACACTGGTAGAACTCACATGCAGATTCTTTCCCCCCCCAGGGTTTCAGTCCAACTAATGGCTATTTAAGCAAGTTGGCTGAGAACATGTGGAAATTACCATGGCATAAACATGTAACAAACCCAGAAATTAAACAGCTACCTGGTTCTTGTTGGTTTTTATTGTTTTGTATTGTTGGAAAAGCAAAGTAGAAAATTAGCATACTATGTTTAACCATTTATGTTCTGTATTAATTTCTGCAGTTAATTTTATTTTCAAATCTTCAGTAAAACCTGATAGCAAAGATAGATCTGTGTTAAGTGATACTAGTATGAAGGAAATGCTGCTTATTTTAAGAATATCTTGAACTGAGTGACAAGTGTGAACACAATTTAAATAACTTGTTTTTAAAAGTCCAGTTAAAGTTATAAAATGCAATACAGAATATTCAAAGATTATTTTTTTCAGTTAAGGGGATCAATTGCTGTGAGTTGTACATGAGAATATTATTGATGTACATTTCAAATATTTTTGTGCATTATCAAAGTAATACAATAAACAATGTTCCTTACAGTACATCCTTGGTAAAACTTAGCTAAAAGAAATTCTCCTGATGTTTGGTTTTGTTATTTAAAATAAGCTGCTTAGAATCTTACAACATGCCCCTTGAAGTTGTGTGTATAGGCATACCTGTGTCTTCATTTGCTTGCTCCTGGCAGACCTTGAGAAGTGAAAAATCCAGTATCAAAACATTTATATGAAAGTCGTTTTTCTGTATCATATAAATGAATCAGTTTGGTCTGTAAATCTCCCAAGATACTTGTTATATCAATATTGCTTCATAGATCATAATATTTTTTGAAGCTGAATTCTAAGCTTAGTGATACCCTAAATATGGTCAGGTTAAGCCACTTGTAGTAATACTGTCTTTTAGAAATTGTGAATGAATTTCATTAGTGGTAACCATGCCTTGAAAATAATATGATGAAAAGCATTCACTAAGGAGCTTAAACAGTGGTTTTCATCTGGTGGCTGAATAATAAATGCTTTGATAGTCTAGATAGCTAATTGTCTGCATAGCCACCACCATGTCTCAGTGGGATTTCTGTAATATATCTTCAAAGTAAAATTTCCTCATGAGGATGAGGTGTTTGGATTTTTTACGCTTAATTCTATTTCCAGAAAGAAAAATATGAAAGTGATGGAATAGAACCAAGTAAAGATTTGTTGGGCAGTGTTGAGCTGTCATTCTGCTGCTGAATTTGATAGAAACTTCTATTGTAATACAGAAGGAAAGTTTAAATGGCAGCCCTAGCTCAAAATACTTGATTCCTTTTCTGTCTCAGTCCTCCCTTCAGTGCTTAAATTTTCTCCATTGTATCAAAGGGGAGGTATATGTGTTTTATTAGCAGAAACCCCTGCTTCTCTACTCTCAATAGCTTTAAATTGGTTTTGCAAACTTGGATGGTATAGATGTATTTGAAGATTCTTTAGGCCTGTATGTCAGGTGATGAAAGGGGGTAAGTAATGGTATATGCTAGTGCTTACTGCTATAGTAGTTTATCCAATACAAACCACAGCTGGTACATAAAATTTTTTAAGAACTTAGTGATCACTGTATATAAATACTATGAAGCTAAAAACATGGCTTCATTCTAACAGGAAAAAGAATTGCAGCAGGTAAAAAGAATAGAAGAAACTTAGACTTCACTTAACGTGCTGATCACTTGATTGTAGGCTTATTTAGGCTGTATATGCCCAATGTTTTGCAGTATGTCACTAATTTTTTCGTAGAGTTAAAATAATCTCTTACTGATGTCACATGAGCTGCACCTGTACTATGACTAAATAAAATGCTCCTTCTCTCTAGTGAAGAGCATTTACACATTGCACTTCCCAGATACTTAAAAAAAACCCAAAACACTACACTTATATACCTGGTGTATCAGTATGACTTAGATGCTGTTTGGTGCTTTGTATTTATGAAACAAGCTTTCTTAAATGCCTAACCTAAATTTAAACTTGGATTTAAAAGGTTAACTTGAGTATTTAAATAAATGTGCTGCTACGTGGTCATGCTACAGATGCTTAATTCCAGTGCCAGAAACTATTAACATACTTGAAGCCACTGTAAATTGACATTTTTATGGTATGTGCTTAGCACTCCCATGTGGATGTAAATGGTACTAAATGTTAATCATTCTTAATCGTTGTTTTCTTGGAAAGATAAGTACAGGTGGGGTAGTAGCAAAAAGAGCTGTGCTAAACATGGTGCTGAACTCTAGTACTCGACTTGCTTCCCTCCTTTAAAAAAATGGGGCATGGAAGAGAAGGAAGATTTAAAAGAACCCTTAAAACTGTAGATGTTAAGATACACTACCTTTTGTGTAATAAAGAAATAAAGCTCAGTAACAGACAGAACTGGGAAGTATTTTAAGAGATGAGAGAGAATTCTCTTAATTAGATTATTGTAAATCCACTTATCTGTATCTTAAATTGGAATCTGTTCAGACTTTGGCTTTCTCCTATCATTAGTATCTGGCTAGACAATTTATCCTAAGTTGTTTGGTACTAACCCAAATTCTTTTTCTGATTTCAGTAGATATGAAGTATGATTTGCAGTTCTAGAGACCGGTTCTGTTAAGTTCAATGCAAGGTGAAGTCTTTCCATTTACTTTAAGTGAACTTTCCCACAGGTCTTAGGTGTTTTTTAAGTTAAAAAACACCTATCTTAAAGGTTTGTGGGGTAACTTTGAAAACATGTCCAGTCTATCAGATGTACTGGACCTGTTTTTCCTTACTGGCAGACTTAACAGCTGTGAAGCTCCATTGTCACCTTGGTATTTTTACAATATATGTGGTTTGGACTGACTTAGAAGTCTTCTATAGGCACACAAAATACTGTAAGATTGAACACTTCTGAGTAAGTGTTCTATACCAGGCATTGTAAAATCAATGTCTTACATTGATTTACTGAGAAAAGAGGTGTTAAATACTTCTGTTGGACACCATTCAAATGAGTGTTCCTGCTTATGTGCACATGAGAAGAATATCCTAGTGTGCCACTGAAGCAACTTTGCTTCTAATTTAGCCTTCGTATGCTACTTTATGATGCTTCCTAGTGTGTTTAAAAAAAGTGCCAAGAAACTGAGAATGAAGACAAAGTATTTACAAGAAAAAAGGGGAAAGACAAAAACATTGAAGTAGATGGTGATTGTATATTGCTTTTTACACAAAATTTAGCTACAACTACACTTAACTTGTAAGTAATGTAGAATTATTTTTTGTGTGATAGTACTGCAAAAGAACCAATAGAGAACAGGCAGTATTGAGCCCTCCATTCTGCAGCACAGACGTGTGTCTTGTGCTGGTTCTTGTCTGTAACTTAAAATATAAAAATAAAACCCAACTCAGTGAGAGATGCTTGGAGATTTTAAAATATTTTAATGATTTGCAAACTTTCATAAGTTGTTTCTCCAAGCTGTCACTAGCAGTTTCTAAAACAAGAAGAAAGTGCTACAATGCTTAACATACTGAAACTTTTTCTAGTTGGCTCAAGTTTCCATGGATTTAACAATTTGATTAAATCTTATTAACCTAGACAGTAGTGCATGATAATGTCAAGGTAGGTGTACAGGTAACTTAAATATTTGTAGGAAAAAGTTCTAGTTCTGAATTCGCCTCTTATTTTGGTAGATAATCATTCAGGCATTCAAAGTCTTTTATTAAGAAAGATGCTTTAAGATGAAGTAATGATACTGTGCAGTCTTTAGTGTCTATCTAAATACTAGTAGTGTTGAGGATGCCTTCTCTCCTGGTGAAAGTTAGTACTTAAAAACTTGGGAAGACTTGACTTGTTTTCATTAAAAATGTTTTAATTCTTAAGGACTTGAAGCTTAGAAAATACTAGAAGTGTATCTGTGGCTGTTTGCTGTGGGCTAACCTTTAACTTGAAGATGTAACCCAGGTAGGAGGAGAGGGCAAACCAGCTCTTGATGGAAGTAGTAGTTTGACTTTGGTTGCAGATTGTACTGGCTGTATGCTACAGGCAGTCTTAACCATCCTATAGCGGGGAAAAAGATGCTGTATTACA